AGCCTGTGAGGCATTCTAGTCAGTTAACAAATGAAGGACAGTATCCTTTTAACTCTAAAGCTCTCACAAGCTCCAGATGGCTGGGGAAATGGAATACTATGTGAGAGGCTGTTATCAGAAATGGGAAAGTGGCAATGACTGATATGTAAATGCTATCACAGTATACAGGATGTAATCCTGTTTGGAAATGATTAGGTTCCAAGGAGATCATTATACACAAATAGGCATATGTGAAAATGGAAGGTGACCGCATTATTATACACAATCACCAAACTGAGAATCATGTCTCAGCGAAAGTGACACAGAGCCTCTTAAACCATCACAGCCAGCATTCCTCTTGCCTCACAACCTTGCATTTGTTGCTACAGGTATATGTAGCAGAGGCTGTAAATTGTATAGGAGGAGGTTGCCCACCTTTCTCCCATGGAGCTCCTGGTGGGTTGTACCGGCAACAGAGGCACCACCTCTGTTAACAGGGCACCTCTCTATGGACTATTATCACTAAAGCCCCCTTAGTCATACCGTCAAATGCCGTTGAGTGTCACTCCTAGCAACAAATCTGAACCTTGTCCTATCCTGTGTTAACCTTATCATCTCTGCCATACTTGAATACATGGCTGTAGTCATTATGTCAATCCATCTTGTTGAGGGTTTTTCCAATAGAAGTTCCTAACAATATGCCAAAGTATGTGAGAGGAGACCATGTTGTCCATGCCTCCAAGACATACCTGCTTGTTTTTGCAGTCCATGGGATATTCAGCACTCCTCCAAACACAACTCAAAAGGCATCAGTTCTGCCCTCATTCATTGTCCAGCTCCTAAGATGTATAGCAAGTGATTGAAAAGACCATGGCCTGAGTAAGACACAATTTAAACTGTCATTATTGCTCCTAAGTATTTTGGAGAGGTTTTTGACAGCATACTTTCCCAGTGCAACATGTCTTTTGATTTCTTGACTGCCGGTACCAAAGGTGTTGACTGTTGATCCAAGGAAGAGGAAATCATTGACAGCTTCAATCATGTCGCTATCATGATGTTGCCTATCAGTCCAGTGGTAAAGATTTTTGTCGTCTTGATGTTCTATTCCATATCGAAGCCAGCAGTCTTGGGCATCAAGTGCTTCAGAAGCAGTGTTGTGTCATCTGCGTAATGCAGGTTGTTGATGAGTCTCCCTCCAATCCTGATGCCATACTCTTCTTCATCAAGGCCAGCTTCTTGCATGATTTGTGCAGCATACAGAATGAATAGATATGGAGAAAGGAAGTGATCCTAACTTGCACTTTTAATTTTAAAAAATGCATTATTCCCTTCCTGTTTGGACAACAGCTTCTTGGCCTAGGTATAGGTTTCATATGAGTACAATTAAGTGTTCTGGGATTGCCATTCTTAATGTTAGCCATCATTTTTTATGATCCACCCAGTCAAATACTTTGGGTGGTCAATAAAATCCAAATAAACATTCTTCTGGTACTTTTTGCCTTCAGCCAAGATCCATTTGACATAAAAAATAAGTCTGGAGCCATGGCCTCTTAATGAGGCTTAATTCCAGTTCTTTTAGGTATCACTTGGGGAATTACCCTGTGTGCTACCAGTAAAGAGACAGATTCTCTAAGAAAATTGTTTCGATTTACTAATTCAGAGATAATTCTTTGTCATCAATATATCAAGTGCTATTTTTTATTGTAAGAATGAGACAAATGGAAGCTTGACTTTTGAGACTTGAAGAGCAAGTCTGAGAACAAGAATAAAAGGGGTTTTTTTAAAAAGGGGGGGAAGAAGAAAAGGTTCTCTTGTAATTGACTAAACAGTAATTGGTATCCTGTGTTGAGAATGTTACGGCTCTATACAGACTCATGCTGGGATCATTTTACATCCTAGTTTGTGAACTGCTGACCCTGTCTTAGAAGATTAATTTTCATTTGGATAGTTCAACTGTTATGTGCCACTGAGTCACTTGTGACTCATGACCCTGTGTACAAAAGACCTGAAAACCGCTCTATCCTGTGCCAAATTTACTGTCTCTATTTAACACTCCTACCCTTATTACCCCAGTCACTGTATCAATTCATCTTATCGATGGTCTTCCTTTCTTGTGTTTTCCCTCCACCCTCCCAAGCATGATGTCCCTCTCCAAGGACTGGTCCCTCTTTGCAACATACCCAAATTATGTCAGACGAAGCCTCAGAATCCCACCTCCAAGGAACAGGCTGGCTTCATCCTCTCTAGGATGAAACTTTTTGTTCTCCTGGCAGTCCATTCAATACTCTTCTCCAGCACCACAGCTCGAAAACATCAATTCTTTTTATATCACCCCTCGTCATTGTCAGCTGATGCATAGCAAGCAATTGCAAAGACTATGGCCTGGATCAGGTGCACCTTAGGCTCCAGACTGACGTGGCTCTTCAGTACTCTGGAGAGGTCCCTGACAGCAGACGTTCCCAATGCAATTTGTCTCCATTTCCTGACTGCTGGTACCAAGAGTGTTGATTGTGGAACCAAGCAAACTAAAGTTGTTAACTATCTCAATCTCTTCACCATCTATCATAATGCTGTCAATCAGCCCAGTGGTGAGAATCTGTTTTCTTGATGTTGAGCTGAAATCCTTGACCTTCAGGTCCTCCTCACTTTCAGCAAGCAGGGTTGTTTCATCTGTGTAATGTAGATTGTCCAATCCTGATGCCACATACCTCCTCATACACCCTCACCTCCCAGATGATCTGTTCTGCATGTAGATTGAAAAGGTATGGAGATAAGGCACATCCCTGACATACAACCTTCCCAATTTGTAACCATGCAGTATTTCCTTGCTCTGACCACTGCCCTCCTGGATCGATGTACCAGTTTTGAATAAGCACAGCCAAATGTTCTGGGATTCCTATTCTTCTCAGCCAGTTTATCGCAATCCACAGTCAAATGCCTTTGCATAGTCAATGAAACAGAGACATTCCTTTGGTATTCCCTGCTTTCAACCAAGATCCATCTGACATTAGCTACCATATCCCTAGTACCATAGCATCTTCTAAACACAGCCTGCACGTCTGGCAGTTCTCTGTTGGTGTGCTGCTCTAGTTTTTACATCAGAATTTTGCTTGCATGTGATATTAATGATATTGTTCAATAATTTCCACACACTGTTGGATCACCTTTCTTTGGAATGGAAAAACTGTATCTCTTTCAGATGGTCATCCTCCAGATTTCTTGGCACAACTTGGTGAGCACATCCAGGGCAGTGTCTTATTTGTTGAAATATGTCAATTGATATGCTGTCAATTTCTGGAGCCTTATTTTTTGCCAATTCTTTCAGAGCAGCTTGAACTTCTTCCTTCACCACAGGCTCTTGCTCATACGTTGTTTCATGAAATTCTTCTGTGTCTACCATTCCTTTTGGTACAATGACTCTGTATACTCTTTCGATCTTCTTTTTTTAAAAAAAAGTGTAGTGGGGGATAAATGAGCAACAATGAATGACTGAAAATCCAGCTTCTCTGTACATGTTAAGATAAAATTTTATTTAATAAAAAGTACCATTTCATGTATTAAAACCAAATCCCACCGAGTCAGTTCCCACTTACAGTGGCTTTACAGGACAGAAAAGAACTGTATCATAGGATTTCCAATGCTGTAAAGTTCTACAAAACACACTGATACTTAATCCTGAGAAGCAGCTGGTAGTTTCAAACCACTGACCTTTCACCTAGCAACTAAACTTTAACCATTGGACCATCAGAGTTCCTTCCATATATTAGAAGGGAGTTCTAATACCCACTTTCTTTTTTTTAAAAAAAAAATTAATTTCAATGAACATTTACAGAGATTTTGGATTTCCATTCATTCATTGTTGCCGTTTTCTCCCCACCCACCCTAATACCCACTTTATTTGGTAAGCAGGACTTGCTATTTCTACTAAGAGAATGGGAGTGAAGAAAATGGTTTTAGCTTGACAAATTTACTAAGAATGATAAACATATCCTATATTTAAGATAATTCTATAATAAAAGGAATATTTCTTGAGTTCTGGAGTTTTTTCCCTTTAAAATCTAAGACTACAGAGGTCCACAGTCTTTCTGTGACCCTATAGATGGCAGTAATTTTTAAAAATTCTTCTATAATCAAATTTTGACATTCATTCCATTTAGTTGCACTGGCACAAAACGGTGTCTTTAGAAGTTTGCAATTTTACATCAACCCCATTTTACAGATGAACAAAATGAGGCCAGAGAAGATCATTCACATTCACTTAACAAGTTTAATGACAGCACTTAAATCATTAATGTCTAAAAATACAAAAAAAAAGATACTACAGAGACAGCTGGAACCTAAAGTATCCTTTATTTTAGAATATTGCCCCATGTAAGTTTTATTCTTTTTCCTACTAAAAACATGAAATGTTTAGGATACAACTTAGCAAATATAAAGTAACGGAATTTCAGTACAGAAAATGTTTAATAAATTAAACAAAAACAGAGATGGAGGATGAAGGAGGACAGGATAAGCCATAAATCAGTTACTCAACAACAAAATCTAGAGAATTGAGAGGCTACTCTTCCTGAGGCAGTCTCTAATTCCAGAGGTCCTTCAATAAGCACACAAGCCAAAAAAGACCAGCAAAAGGTTTAATGTATATAAAAACAAATAAGACTTATTTTGTATTTACTGTGTGCTTATTTCCATTAAAATAAAGAATATTTGACAAAGGCCATTAATAAAGTAATAGTCATTCAATCTGAATAAATGTTAGACATAAAAATATGTGAATAGTTTCTTAAGCTTCCCACTAAACTCACTATAATCCCAAATGCTTGTCATCATAAGTATATTAGAAATACGCTAGTCCTAAAAAACAGTTATTCCAACATGAGCAAAGTGCTATGGTCCTTAACAGACCACTCAAAAAGCCTAGTAACTGGATTATCTGAGTGAGGCTAAATGTATTACAGTAAAGAGAAGAGTTATATTCATGAGCCATACTTCATGCTGAGGTGATCGTGAGAATGCAGTGATCACTGTCCGTTCATTTCCAAGGCTTCAACAATATGTGCTGCTGAAGGGCGATCTTTGGAGTCTTCATTAGTGCACACAGAGAAGAGTTCAATTACTTTCTGGTACGAGTCATCCAGTTCTTCCATATTAATAGGAGGCCTAGTTCCCAAAGCTGCATAGTATGCCTCATCATCGAAGTCACTTTCATCAAAAGTCTTATCTGTTTATGAAGTTAAGAAATTGAGATGATAAAAGAATCACGAAAAAGCTTAGTGTCTGCCCAGGCTCATATACCTGAAATGCACTCCACTGTCTAGTATGCTTTCAAATGTATTATAATCACTCTCTTAAACTGTTATCAGTATATATTTACTGTTGTTTTTGTATTGATAGGTCCTTCCTTCAGTTTTCTAACCTTTTTCTCAGGCAAAAAAAAAGATTCTAACTTTTTTCTCTTACAGATTTTCTCATCGCTCCCTATCAAGCCACAGGACTGAGATTAAAGTTAGGTAGTACTACTACCAAAGTAACCTATAGTGGAGAAACTATGTCATATGCTTGAAAAGGCAGAGGGTCAGTGAAAGTATAATCCTCAACACAATAGGGCAGGGGTCAGATCTGTGGTTCACAGTGTCACCAAGAGTCACAGTCAATTCAACAGCACTGTCAGCAACAATACAGTTTAGAAACAGTTACTAAATCAAACTTCCTCTAATAGAAAGATAACATGATTTTATAAGCTTATCTTTAGTTTACTGTGAAGATATATTTTAAAATATATAGATACCTTCATCATCATCATCTGAAAGATTAATGTGTGGAATAGATAAAGTCATCATTTCCCATAGAGTAAGCCCAAAGGCAAATATGTCTGCTTTGTCTGTGATAATACCATCCTCCTCCAAAGCTTCTTTGGGTTTCCAAGGCTCCGTGCCAATATAACAGGCCTCAGGGTCAGTCACTGAAAAACAATTAAACACAGGGAAAATGGCACTCTACGGGGAGGCACTATAAATTAAGATGATATTCAAGCAACCAGAAGACAAATGGATAATGTGAAAAGACTAATAAACATGGTGATAGAGATGAAAATGCAGTCAACCACACTGGCAAGGTTATGTTTTTCTTATCGCTAAGATATTCTAAAATAAGTAAGTATTCTAAAAAGGTGGTTAATTCCAAAGGAATTAAGGCAGCAAAAAGTATCTCAGAAAACTAGCAGCAACATCAATGTGTGAATGTTAGTAGTACAGACTATAGAACACTTCCTGCACTCAAGAAACATCTGCAAACTATGTGACCTTGAATAGCACTTAATTTCTGTGCCCAATCAGACCATTTTTTAAATATTTTTATTATTAATTTTAATGAACGTTTACAGAGACTTTGGATTTCTATTCATTCATTGTTGCATTTTTCTCCCTGCCCACCCCTCTCCCCCAATTCACTCTTCTCTTTGAAAAGTAAAAGAAAAATTCTCACTATTGTAGAATGGGTCTGACATCAGGGTTGGGGTATGACAGAAAAAACTGGGTAAATGATGTATACTGTATTGAAACAGATGAGGGAAAGAACAGATTAGAGGTGATATGTGATTGAGTATTATGGTTAGCACAGGAATCCAGAATTAAGGTTGCATAGAGAAGTGTACTCGGGGTGGGGGGTGGGGGGAAGGGATGTGGGAATTGTATACTAATGAAGGAATAATTTTTTTTTTCTTTTCGGAGAGGGGAGCGAACTGGTGGGGAGGGAGAAAAGTGCGGCAATGAATGAATGGAAATCCAAAACCTCTGTAAATGTCTATTAAAATTTTTAAAAAAGAGACAATATTGTATGATCTAATTTATGTGAAATGGGTTTATTTTTAGAAATTAACACATTTTTAATGGTTGCTACAATTTTTTTTCTGATTGCTGGAACGAGTCTATAAAAATAAAAGTAAAAGAAAAATTATTTCATTGATATACAATCCCTCCCCCTAAGTCCACTCGACTGTGCAGCCTTCATTCTGGACTTCAGTCATGACAATAATACCTAATCATGTATCTCTTTTAAACAGTCTCACCCACATCTGTTTCAATGCAGTATACAATTTATTCCCTTTCTCAGTCTACCCTCAACCCCGATATCAGTGCCATTTACAACAGTGGCACTATACAATATTTGTCTTTTTGTGACTGAGGTATTTCACTCAGCATAGTGTTCTCCATTTTGTATAATATTTCATGAGTTCTTTGTTTTTCAGTGCAGCATAGTATTCCATTGTGTGAATATACCACAGCTTCTCTACCCATTTGTTTGTTGATGGGCACCTTGGTAGTTTCCAGCTCTTTGCTATTGTGAATAAACATGGGTGGGCATATATCTGCTTGGGTGGTGGTTGGGGTTTCTTTAGGGTATATTCTCAGGACTGGAATTGCTGAGTCAAATGGTATTTCTATTTGCAACTTTTTGAGAAAGCACCATACAACCTTCCATAGTGGTTGCACCATTTTACACCTCATCAACAGTGAATAAGGGTTCCAGTTTCTCCACAACCTCGCCAGCATTTGATGTTTGCTGCTTTGTTAAATTTTGCTATTTTTACTGGGGTGAGATGATAGCTCATAGTTGTTTTGCACACCATTCTTTTTAAACTTTGCTGTGTCCTTAAGCTAACAGACACTACTTCTTCCATAATTGTTGAGTCAAGGAAATGAGAAAGGGTCAAATCACATTTGTGCTTAATGCTTCAGCTTAGAAATGACAGAAGTCCACTACCCTTCTCATTTAAATTATTAATTTTAATGAATAAATATCTTAAAAATCATACTGAGTCCTATAATGCACAATCATCATGTATCTCCATTTACTTAGATCTTAATTCTCTCAGTGATGTGTTATGTTTTCCAGTACAGAGATTTCTTTACTAGATTTATCCTTTTGTATTTTCATGTTGGGCACGTATAAATGGAATTTTATTAAAATTATACTTCATTTTTAAAAAATTATATTTCCAATTACTGGTAGAACACAGAAATAATACAGCTGATTTCACCAATTATTCCAGTAGTTTACTATATTCTTTGGATATTTCTACATAGACATTGTATCAACTATAAATAGGGAGCTTTATTTTCTTTCTGATTTTTAATTTTTTTCCCCCTTGCTTTAAGGGGTAGGTCTAGAAGACAATGTTAAATAACATTGACAGGAAATCCTCTTGTTTGCCTATTTAAGTAGTCTTACAGGGAGCTCTGGTGGTATATTCTGTTGGGAGTTGTGCCACTAAGGAAAAGACCACAAGTTTCTGGCAGAGAATCCATGAGTGGTTGTGTATAAAGGAGAAAGGCAGGCATGTCATCTCCTATGGTTACAGCCTTGGAAACCTGATAAGAGTATCAGTAGTCTTAGTTGTAGGGGTTTTATAAGCTAAGTTCCTTTCCATTTCCAGTTACCTGAGTTTTCATTATGAATGGGTACTGGATTTTATCAAATACTTTCTCATTATTGACTCAAATGACTTTGTAGTTTTCTTTTTCAGTATGTGATCCAGTTTAGACCTATTTTCCAATATTATCTTCAATTAAAATACACCTTTATAAGCAATCACTAATTTGTACCGTATGTGTGACAAGGAAAGAGGCTAGAGGCTGTGAAAGAAACAGGAAAGGGAGACTTCTTTTTTCTTATTACCCATCAAAAAAACAGTAATAATTATAAAAAATTTTTAAAAGAAAATGCTAAAAATTAGAGTAATACTCACCCGTCATATTTTCATCCAGTGGGAGAGAGACTCCTACATCACAGATTTTAATAGTTTCAAAATTGCCTTTAATTACAACATTTGAAGACTTTATGTCTCCATGAAGCAGTTTCTTTTCTTGGTGCAGATACTTAAAACAGTGGAAAATGTAACACATTTAAGAAGAAATACAAACGAATATATGATGATGTTAAAACAAAAAATGAAAACCTACCCTCCATTTCTAAACTATATCACAATCATTTTAAATGGTTAAAGTCATAGAAGGGAATGTTCCAGAGATGTTCATTTATAGATGTTGTTGTTGTTATGTGCCATCGATTTGCTTGCTACTCATAGCAACCCTATGTACAAGAGCCCTAAATGCCGTTCTATCCTGTG